GGAATGCCGCAGTTGTTTTGAAAGGAAATAGTTCCATTGGCTTCAATACATTCGCTTACTGCTGCTAATAATTTGATGTGTGGTACTGAGTAAAATAGATCCTCCACATCAAGTGAGAACCCAAAGCGCACTGTCATCGCATTTAGTTGCAGATACTTAATAAGTTCCTCCGAGTTTGCTATTAGGAATGGGTCATTCAGCTGGAGATTAGACAAATGGCTTAAGAGGAACCGTGACATTAGACCCTGCCAAGACCCTTTCTCAGTGACCACAACTCGAAAAGGGCATTCGTTCTTGTGCGTTTTTGCTGTGAAAAACATATCCAGACTGTCCTTTTTGGTAGCAGTAATCGTCTTCCTCAATTGCTCCAACTCAAGTCTGTGGCACATTTGAAGCGCCTTTGCCTTCACACTTTTGGTTTTGAAATCATGCAACTTGTTAAAGTTTTTTTCTATGGCTCGCCCTGCTTTTTCGAGGTAGAGTGACCTAGGAATGACAACGAAACCTCCTTCTTTATCAGAAACTAGAAGGGTTAGGTCATTCGTTTTGAAATAATTGACAATAGTAGGAATTCTCATATTCTTGTCATTAACTTGACCAGTCTGTAGCAGCACGTCAACACAATCGTCCACACATCGAAGTCTATCAGCTTCTTGGGCCTTTGCCGCTATGTCGTGTATCTTAGACACCAGCTCTACGCCCTGCATTTTTGGTGGTGTGCAGAATTTTGGTCCTTTTTCAAGTATCTTGCCTATCTCCGCCGGTATTGTAGCATCCCCCAACAACGTTACGGATTCTCCCTTGCGTTGGTTATTTTGAGCACGGAGACTTTTTATATGCGGAATATATGAAGACCATAGGAATTCCGTTTCCTTACTTGCTCTGTCAAGGAAGGTTCTGTACCTTCGTCCTTGGCCGCCACCGGGGTCTCCACAACCCGCAAGAACCCAGAGGCAAGTTCTGAAGTATCGGACCTGCCTCCACATCTCGGAGCGGACAATCTTGCATATTCTTTTTGCATGATGTTGGGAAGGTCTTGCAAAGCCAAACAACCCAACCAAGTCCGGTGGAACCGCACCATGTCTGATGGCGGCAGAATAGAATCTTGCTTTGCAGGTTGTGTTGGCGATCACACTGATGTAAATAGAAATAGAGTCCAGAGGGGAAAGACAAGGAAAAGGGCCCATTGTAGAAGAAAGAAATCGCATCAGAATTAGTTGGGGGGCTAGTTGGTTGAACATCTAGACGGTGGTTTAAAAGCGCAAAGGACTAAGAAGAGAAGAAGGGGACAGGACAGAGCGCTTACTTACAACTGTCAAATTTAATAGAGCATTTAGAGAAAGACAAGGTGGAAGTGAAAAAGGAGAAAAGAAAAATGAAATAAAATTAAAGTCACTGCTGCTATTAAGAACATATTTGGTTTTAGAAATCGAAACAAAAATCTTTTGACTGCAGCTGAAGGCAAAGTACTTGTCACGTAAAAAAAAACTGTCTATACAGCAAAATGAAAAAAATAATAAAAAATTGAATAGTAGGAAAAAAGAAAAAAAACATTAGGCAGAGCGACCGGCTAAAAAGTCTTGAGGTAAAACACCGCTAGAACTGAGGTTCTTTTTGTGTTTCAAGTCTTTAGGGCATACACCGAAGGAACTGAAGTTCTTTCTGTGTTAGGGTCACTGATGGGGCGCTTATACACTTGTCGCCACTGGTGAGGATGACTTGAGCCTCGTACAGCTCTCGAATGTTTTTGTCACGGAACCGCTTCAGAACCTTGGTGTTGGTGAATGTTGGTGAGCATTTGCAGTCTCTGACATGCACCGCAAGATGTCCCGATGGTGCTGATTTCAACGTTTGGGCATGTTCTCTTAGTCTCGTATTGATACATCGCCCCGACTGACCTACATACACTTTGCCGCAAGTAAATGGTATTTGATATATCACTCCACTTTGACATTCTACATACTTGAGTCGATGTTTGACACTGCATTCTTGCTGTTGATGCTGTTGGCAATTGATCTTAGGGCAGAGCCTTTTTAGTTTGTCCGGAGCTGAAAGCACGACTTGGACTTGAAACTTCGCAGCTGTTCTCTTCAAGTTGTGGGACAAGCGGTGTATATATGGCAGAACTGTCGGTCGGTGTTTCTTGTGTTTTTCAGTGTCATGTTTTTTATTTGAGGTCATCAAGGATTCCGCGACTTCATATATTATCGAACTGGGATATCCCGACGCTTTCAGTCTTTGTACTTGAGCATCAAAGCTTTCCCCCGCTGAGTGTACGCAAGATTTTTTAAGAGCTGTATTCAGGCAATTTTTTGCAATTCCTCTTTTAATAATTTTGGAATGAGCCGAATCATACTGTAAAAGACCTTTCTTCGATCGAGGGGAATACATCCAGCAAGCGTGGTTGTCAGAGAAAACCAGTCTTAGATCTAAAAATTGGAGTCTGGAGTTCATTGGTGACTCTTGGGTGAACTTGAGACCCTGGCCATTTTCTAAAAAGTTAGATCGGATGATGTTGAATAGTTGCGTCTCATTCTCACTTGGGCGATGTTGAAGAAGAACGAGGTAATCATCAACGTATCGAAAAATATGAGATACATGGCTGTTGAAAAGTGTACTGGCTACTGCCCGATCACATTGGGCCAAGTAAATATCACATAATATAGGCGCCACACAGGAACCTATACAGATACCTTTCTTTTGTAGGAAAGAATCACCTTCAAAAGTGACGACTGTAGCAGAAAGGTAGAACTTTAAAAGTTCTAAAAAGGACTCTTCCTGTGTGGCGCCTATATTATGTGATATTTACTTGGCCCAATGTGATCGGGCAGTAGCCAGTACACTTTTCAACAGCCATGTATCTCATATTTTTCGATACGTTGATGATTACCTCGTTCTTCTTCAACATCGCCCAAGTGAGAATGAGACGCAACTATTCAACATCATCCGATCTAACTTTTTAGAAAATGGCCAGGGTCTCAAGTTCACCCAAGAGTCACCAATGAACTCCAGACTCCAATTTTTAGATCTAAGACTGGTTTTCTCTGACAACCACGCTTGCTGGATGTATTCCCCTCGATCGAAGAAAGGTCTTTTACAGTATGATTCGGCTCATTCCAAAATTATTAAAAGAGGAATTGCAAAAAATTGCCTGAATACAGCTCTTAAAAAATCTTGCGTACACTCAGCGGGGGAAAGCTTTGATGCTCAAGTACAAAGACTGAAAGCGTCGGGATATCCCAGTTCGATAATATATGAAGTCGCGGAATCCTTGATGACCTCAAATAAAAAACATGACACTGAAAAACACAAGAAACACCGACCGACAGTTCTGCCATATATACAACGCTTGTCCCACAACTTGAAGAGAATAGCTGCGAAGTTTCAAGTCCAAGTCGTGCTTTCAGCTCCGGACAAACTAAAAAGGCTCTGCCCTAAGATCAATTGCCAACAGCATCAACAGCAAGAATGCAGTGTCAAACATCGACTCAAGTATGTAGAATGTCAAAGTGGAGTGATATATCAAATACCATTTACTTGCGGCAAAGTGTATGTAGGTCAGTCGGGGCGATGTATCAATACGAGACTAAGAGAACATGCCCAAACGTTGAAATCAGCACCATCGGGACATCTTGCGGTGCATGTCAGAGACTGCAAATGCTCACCAACATTCACCAACACCAAGGTTCTGAAGCGGTTCCGTGACAAAAACATTCGAGAGCTGTACGAGGCTCAAGTCATCCTCACCAGTGGCGACAAGTGTATAAGCGCCCCATTAGTGACCCTAACACAGAAAGAACTTCAGTTCCTTCGGTGTATGCCCTAAAGACTTGAAACACAAAAAGAACCTCAGTTCTAGCGGTGTTTTACCTCAAGACTTTTTAGCCGGTCGCTCTGCCTAATGTTTTTTTTCTTTTTTCCTACTATTCAATTTTTTATTATTTTTTTCATTTTGCTGTATAGACAGTTTTTTTTTACGTGACAAGTACTTTGCCTTCAGCTGCAGTCAAAAGATTTTTGTTTCGATTTCTAAAACCAAATATGTTCTTAATAGCAGCAGTGACTTTAATTTTATTTCATTTTTCTTTTCTCCTTTTTCACTTCCACCTTGTCTTTCTCTAAATGCTCTATTAAATTTGACAGTTGTAAGTAAGCGCTCTGTCCTGTCCCCTTCTTCTCTTCTTAGTCCTTTGCGCTTTTAAACCACCGTCTTAATATTGACAGATTTAGTGATTCCCAGTGATGCTTGGCGAGTTTCTTATTATGACGTTTAGCCCCGCATATTATGTCCCCCTGGCCGCATAACTAAAATACACAGAATAAATTAGTTTAACTGTCGTGGATTTTTTTTTTTTTTAACTGTAAAGCTTACAAGAAAACGCCCTGCATATTTACCGAATTTGTAATCAATGTGTTAGATTCATGCAACTTCCGATTCGTCCATTCGGTGAGGCTACCATGTTTGAAAGCGTCGGTGACATCATCAGTCCACTATCCGCCGGTATCCCTGCACTCGGTTTCACATTTAAGATGTATCATAGTGTAGTGGCTAGAGGTTTGAGCTCATAGCATTGGCAGCTGCACCTGATGTGCGAGAGCTTCTGTAGCCAAGGTGCATCCATGGGCAAAGTGTTTGTGCTTGTAGACTGCGCTGAGGTACGGTTGGAGGGCGTATCTTTCTCGTTTTTGCTCTGCAGTACGTGAAACAGCATTGCCTGTCTCGAGTTCTAAGCTTTGCCTGAGCCACGGCGGCATTTCGTTTGCAGCAAAGCGGTGGAAGTGTGGGTTACCGGGGGTGGCGATGTCGCAGGGTCAGGGTTGCCTATTGATTAGAAGCAGCTTATGAACATTACAAAAATTGTTTTTATGATTACTAGAGCCCTAAAATAACTGAAACTTGGCGGGTAAATTAAGCAGCTTATGAAAATTTTACAAGGATAATCTAACTTGTTTCATTTCCATGGTATTACCCTTTTCTAAGAAAAATTAAAAGTGCTTACAGCTTCCCGCACCGCTCTGTACTTTGCCTGAAGCACGGACACCTCCCTAGAGAGAAGAGCATGCAAGGATTATTAAAAACAGTACCACATTATTTTACATTCTTAATCGGTGATGTCGAGAACTCCCCAAAAGCGACTAAAGATATACACATCATAGCACTAGAGGCCGCAAACTACAATATGACATTCAGCTAAAAAGAAACATATCTGACATAAAGAATCTGTCAGATGTCTTAACAAGTGTGGCCAAAGTTTCGTCCGGCCAAATCATAATATTTGGCAGTAGTATGAAGTTGTTTTATTCAGCGAGAATGCAACCCATCATGACGAGATGCTCTTGCTTCGTAACAAATTAGGTAAAGCTGCACTGCGGGCTTCTCAATGCAAGAACTGCACATGCTTTATCAACCAAGGTTGATTTTACCTGTTCATTTCGTCAAAGATGTTGTCTTTGACCATGTCCAACTGTCTGACACCCTGGTGCTCTTGTGCCGCCTTCATGGATGTATACTGGTTGTGCATGATTGAGAGTTGCTGGAAAGAAAAACGGGTCCAGAAACAAGTAAATCAGTGAGATCACGGCAAAGTCGTTGCGCCGGCAACACAAGCCGGCTATGGGCTGACACAGACATTCTAGGCTCGTAACCCTGGCAAAGAGCATAAAACAAAGCGCACCTCAAGCAAGCCATCTTTCACCAGGCGTTCCATGTCAGCAAACACTTTGGCAGTCGCTTCAGCAGTCGAGCTGATGTCGTCTTCCAGCTCGGTTAGCCGTGCTGGACTTCGCTGGAACAAAGTGGTTCGGGACATATATTATAACTCACATATTTTGAGCATAAAGTACTTCCAACCAGTGGCATAGTCAGGAATTTTTTTTCGGAGGAGGGGAGCTGAGGTGGTTGGGATGTCCATGACTTGGGGTGTGGGTTCATAATGCATGTGTATATACAGGCCCGGTGTTACTTTTTACATGCAAGATTTCTTAAAAAAGGTGGGTGACCCTTACATGGGTGCTGCCTTTAATGTGTAGTATTTAACGGGCTTGGCAGACGTTGGACGGGGCAATATTCATGATGACCCATCGACTAAATAACTAGAAGTGCCTAATTAACTTTTATCAAGGCACAATAGTGGCATACTCGCACCGGTTACCTCTTTCTTATCTCAAGAGCCGCCATAATAAAAAACCGCCATAATAAAAAAAAAAAGAAAGTGTTGGTTTTATGAGGTATGCTCCAACTGCGGTTTTAAAGCCTATAATTTATAATGGTCACACCAATTTATATAGTCTGCAAAAAGACAATAATCTCTGAATGTTTGTTGGCAATTAAAAAAATTTGCACACAAACGCGCCTTATTATTAAGGTACAAGAGTGGCATACACAGGCCGGTCACCTCTTCCTTATCTCGACAGCACGTGGTTGGTGGAAGTATCTATCGGACACTCCCTAGATGACGACAAAGTGCCAGTGACTCTTTCCCACATTATTAAGGGTGCCCCACCCTAAATAATCAGGCACGCTCCTATGCTCACACTTTTTGAACTGCCCACAAACGTGCGAAAACTTGTGGATAAGTATCTCAGACTGTTGCCTTTTCAAAAATTGTTTAAACTGGTCTAGCCATTACTAGTGATTGTCTTTAAAACTGCAAATTGGAACAGGATTCGTCAAACCAAAACTTAAAGGGACACTGACAGGGTATTTATGGTGGCCAAGGTTTTTATTTGTACATGATATATGAGAGCCCAACTACCCAAAACGCAATTTGCGGCTCGAAATTCTATTTCGTTCCACCCAAAAACCATTGATCGAGAACTGGCCAGTTTAGTTGCACTCACTCTCTTTTCCGTGGTCATGTGCCGTTTTCTATGGTTTAGACCAGTGGTCGGCAACCAGCAGCCCGCGGGCCGGATCCGGCCCGCGAGGTAGTTTCATACGGCCCTCAACCTCCCGGTAACCCCCACTCCCCCTCCCCTACGCGGTCAGCTAAAGAAAAAAAATAATAAAGCTAACTAATTCGCTGCCCGTCTGCGAGCAGACTTTTTCACGAATGAAGTGCATAAAATCCAACTTCCGCTCACGAATGACTGACGAGAACCTCCACAATGTTTTGCGACTCGCTGTTAGCAGCTTGAATGTGGATGTTTGTAGTTTGGCGAGCGCAGTTCAACACCAAAAGTCTCACTGAGAGGAGTCTCTAGGTTTTCGTGGAAATGTCGTATCTCATGTTGTTTGTCGTGAAATAAAGAAACCGTTCATTTTCTATTTATGTACGTCAAAGTAAGTTCGCGCAAGTGCTTTTTTTTATTTTAAACTCCCCCCCGCTGCTTGCTGTCCGGCCCGTTCCGCCTTGGCTTCGCGGCGACTCGGCCCGCCTCGCCAAAAGGTTGCCGACCACTGGTTTAGACACAACCACCAGAGAGATAATCAAAGTTGTGGGTCATCAAAGGCATACACTCAATACTAAAAATAATTTTAAAAAATTTGATTGCCATTTTTTTGCGGCTTGTAAAAAAGTGTAAAGACGTCGATTGAAAAAAAAAAAAAAATGAAAGCCGTTTACAACTCCCTGTAACGCCGAATTAGAGTGCAGCTCTTAAGGAGGAGGAGGAAAGGGTAGTGAGGGTCACGTGTTCTCGGAGAAATTTTTCCGCTAGATTTAGCGGGGAAATTGTTCCGCTAGCTTTAGCGGGAAAACCGCGCGGTTACGCCGACGGCGACGCCGCTCAAGCCGGAAACGGGCGCCTAAGAGCTGCGCTCTAAAAAAAGTTGCAGAGCCACGTGACTTGCAGTAACTTTCTCCTCCTCTATATTTCTTCTTCCTCCCCTGTCCAGTTTCAGCTTCGAGCAATTGCATATTTTGACTTTATTAAAAATATGTGATGTTGTAGCAAAATATTGGTTGGGTAGTCTTCGGACATTATAATGGATTGCCTGCCAAAAAAGTAAAAAAATAAACATTTTTGGGGGGTGTCAGTGTCCCTTCGAGAAGTTCATTAGGCATTTTTAGTTAATTAGCCGACAGATCGTGATACAAATCGCGTTGTCTAATGACTGCTGAGTTCGGTAAATACACAGTGAAGACAACACCTAAAAGTCCCCCAACTTTTTAAAAAGCGCAGCTCTTAGGTGCCCGTTTCGCCATATAGTGGTGTCGCTGTCGGCGTAACCGCCCCGGTAAGTTTAGCGGGAAATTGAATTGGTGTAAGGTCACGTGATGTCGATTTTCCCGCTAAATCTAGAGGAGAAACCGAATTTGTTCATGGGTGGCATGACACAAAGTCATGTGACTTCATTTTCCCCGCTAAATTTAGCGGGGAAACTGAATTGGTGTTTGAGGGCACATGATATCAATTTTCCAGCTAAATCTGTGGGAGGATGGGAGGGTACAGAGAAGGAAGAGAGGAGGAGGGTACGGACAGAGGAGGGGCATACCCTTCCTTCCGTATCTCTTCTCTTTCTCCTCAAGAGCTGTGCTCTAATTTCGCATTACAGTGATTTGTAAACGTCTTTCATTTTTAAAATTTCTGTTACATGTAGAAAGAAATGCCCCGTATGCTATAGGGTTAGCCAGATTTAGGGAAAGTAAGGGGGGCTGAAGTTCCACGTTTTCTTTTGGCTACACCACTGCTTAACAGAATTTGGTTTCCTACAGAAAAGGGTGGCACACACTTTCTACAAAAGAGCAATTAATAAAATGAGGAACAAATACACAGCTTTCAAGTCACGCCATCGCCCCATTTTGATGGCCGGTTTGGTGACCGTTCCTACCCGTTCTTACCGAAATAGACAAGTGCGGTGGTGCGAAATGTATGCTGCAGAAGGTATGCGCTCAGTAGCGAGGCCACCAGAATGGTTGTTAATGTAACACCAATGCAAACGGTTTATAAAAGAGTACTATAGAGGTCGGTTCACACATATATTGCTGCATTAAATCAACTCTCGAAACAGCACTGATGCATCGTTGACTTAAGCAATGCAGCCCTCGCTAATATAGCACTAAGTTAGCGTGGCATCAGCAAGATCAGCACTACTTTCAGCGCTTACTGACAGAGCTGAGGTGTATGTGTGTGAACTGGCCTTAAGAATCTCAGCATCACTATAGTCACTTACATGTTTGAGATATGCCACGAAGTGGAAGCAGTGGGTCACCCTCATGCGGTATATGATGTAGCAGACGTCTAGGTGTTGCTCCTTTTTGGATTGCTGAAGAACCTCTTCCATCATGTTCCAGTGGGACAGCTTGACTCGGATCTGAAATTATTCGAGATTGCCGAGCGGAGCAGATGCCAAGTTAGGAGAAAGCTGAATGGGGTTTCGAAAGTTTCTCATGACGCCTCGTGATGGAAGTCTCCACAGCATAAGAATATATAAACAGTTTCGTCCTTCTGCTATTGGATGTCTCCATGTTGAAGCTTGGGAGTCCTTGGTGCCATAGAAAATGACACCTGAGGATGTTTAATACATACAGCGCAAGTATGTATAAGTCAAGCTCCCTGGGGAGTGTTGGCTGCGTGATAGCACGTAGGAGGAAGCAACTTGGATGAAGAGAACTCAAGCTCAGACCACACAGATGGAGCTTCAACAGCAGTGTACAAGCTATAGTTTCTCTCACTGTACAAGCCACAGCCTTTCTGGTGCTACCCTGCCAATTGCGAAAATGCACAACCGAAAGTTGGAACATATAATGTTCTTTATAAATCGCCTCTGGTAGATTGTTTTTGGCGGCAATAATTACCTTCAACTTGGGCTCAATCGGCTGCACTTCGTAACAGGCGTAAAGCATATACAGAGCAAACAGCTTTTCAGGAAAAGTGCTGGTTGGAATCCACAACTTCAGGATGATGGGCATCATTTCTTCTATCATCTGCAAAAGGGGATACGGCAACCTTAAAACTAGCTCCAGTGAGAACAAGGCAAGAACACTCTGTGAACGTACGTAACGAAGTTCACGCTGGTCTTTTCTTCCACTGCAAACAAAAACAAGAAAGAAATATGTTGAAATTACTGGCGAGCGATGAGCTGGGTCCAAGGCGGCTCCACCACTAAGTGAAAACTTACCAGAAGATCAAAGAGAACTTGTGCTCCCTCCACTGTTCGGCGAAGTCGACGTATCGCACTGTGTTCTTGGCCATGAACTTTCCAAGAAGCATGTTCATGTCGGTGTAGAAACCGGCGATCACTTTCTTGACGCGCGACATTTTCCCGAGTGTTCGAAGGCGCTTACAGGCTTCGTTTGCTGCGGATACGAAATGCACGCGCAAACCGCGCAAAGTTAGCACACGTCAGATTAGGTTCGAATGGTTACAACGCGCGTTCTCGAACACTGGCAAGACATTCGGAAGCCGAACGACCACACCGGCACCGGCGGGGCTATCGGCAAAACGCAAACGAAACGCACGCGGCAAGGTTTGTTTGTTGTGCGCTTAGTTACGAAGGACCCCCACTAGATGGAGCCACCATGCCATCAAGTCAAAAAATTTTAGCGGAAATTAAACGACTCTAGGTAGCGCAAGCCACCGCCCAATTCATAGTTGAATACTGTTTTTGTGTTGTGTTCATTCCCTTCCGTGTTCATGAATCTCGGGTTTTACTACCATGATTCAGCTCACTGATCTCCAACTGATCTCAGATCAATGATTCAGCTACGTACTTTCGTCATAAAATAGCGCGAAAGACGAAGGAGAAAGGAGGAGGCGACCACAGTGTGGAGACGACAGGACAGGACAAGCGCTACTTTCAACTGACGTTTTAATAAAAAGATAAAGAAAGAAAAGGACGAAGACAAATTTATATAACGAAGAAACTGGAAACAAAACGAAAGGGATTTGCTTTCTGATTGCTCTCCTTCTTTTTTGTGTTGAATGCCTCTATAATCTCTTTTTCCGCTCCCCGTTTCGTCTGTTGCCTTTGATTTTGGCGATTGAGTGCGATGTGGTTTGGGCAATGTGTCCGTGACGACAGTGATAATAAAAACCAGTTGAGAGAGAAGCGCCTGCCCTGTCGTCCTTGTTTCTTCACTGTCCCCGTTCACGCTTTTAACATTTTGCAGGCTTTAAACTAGAAACTGTCTAACCATAAAATGAGCATATATGATCTAAATTTCTTTGAAACTTGGACCGAGTATTTTTTTTGTTTATAGTGCATCTTCAAAAAGCTGCATAAACATAAAATTACCTAGGGTACGTTAGGAATTATCCTCGGTGACATGGTGACCTTGCCTCCACAAAGTATGTTCTTTTTTCCTTTTTTTAGTTTGAAAAACAGTGAAAAAAAGGGGTTTACTACGGTTGATCGAATGCCATTTCATCGAAGCACGTTTTAGAGAACGGGCTCGTTTTATCGAAGCACGGTTTAGAGAAAGAAGAGACTCAGTTTAGAGAAACGCCGTTTATCGAAAAGGGAACAATATTTAAAAACGGCTTTCCTACTTCGCGCGTGCATCACTGGTGCGCGTGTTAACCCAAGCCCCCTGCTGCGCTTCCGCCGCTTCGCGGCGGCAGTCTACGGCGGCTGATTACAAAATTGTTAACTCACCTGATTTACCCGTACACGCCGCTTCGCGGCGGCCGAATTCGCTAAAAGGAAGCTCATCGCCATTTTCTCTAAACTGGGTTCTCTACAAAGGGATTCGATAAACTGGGGTCGGTAAAACGGCGTTCGCTAAAACGAGCTCCTCTAAACCGCATGACTCCGGGAAAAAAGACGGTCACGTTGTACCATCCACTGTGCCATCCACTCATCTTTGTAGAGCCTCCAGGCATTGAAAGTATGAAAATGAATAAATGAATGAATGAATAAATAAATAAATAAATAAATAAATTACACTAAAAGCATTGAAAATATGTCACCGATATCGTGGAACACAAATCCTGACCCCCCGCTCATTTGTAAATTTCTTTCTTTCAAAAATATGTGTAAAGTTTTCCAAATATTAAGCATTATTTTTTTTTTTTCTGTGCAGTATACACTGGTCCGTAACCTTTTAAAACTTCGGAAAGAATAACATATACTAATGTGCCCCACGGTCTGGATCCAAATGAAACCGCTTATATGCTTATAATCCCGCCGTTGGCCACCTCTGCAAGTAGTAAGGTTACAAACGCGTTCTTTTTCCCCACCAATATTTCACATAAAACATACCTTTTATGCTAATTAACTCTATATATTAGTAAAAAAGATTGGTACAAATGAAATTATTTGACGCAGTCGTGCGAACAATCCTTGCTAAAGCGATTCCAAGCAGGCGTGTATACTATGTTGTTGTTTCCCCGCAGTGCACCACGGCACCTTTTCCTCTACCCAACTTGAAAAGAATAAAAATATCTATGTTACGTGGTACGTGTAGTGAAAGGGTGTAGTTAGAGTCACAGAGTCACAGGTTGAGAGGATGACACACCGGGCGACGGCGGTGCCTCAATCTGAGTCTTAGGCCTCGGTTCCTTGGAAGCGGCAGCTTCTACACTGACTGGGCCACCTCCTTGGAGCCTGATGCTTCGACCCCAGCGGACCTCAGTGAGCAACAGCGCCATCATGTTCATGGGGCGCCTTCCTGCACCGATCGGACGGCGTGCCAGATCCCCATGGCTCACCCGCTGACCCACCCAACCCGCCTCCACGAAATCTGAACTTCTGCGAATCGGACTGCCATCCTCTCCAATATTAACAATCCACGTCGTCATCATCATGCATGTATATACTCATCACATTATCATGTTCACTAGACGCGGCACCGCGGGCCTCCATGGTACGGGCTGCTGCCTTTCCGCGGTGCCGCGGCTCTGCAGAGCCAAATAAATAAAGACTAAAGACTAAAACTCTGGGTGCAGCGACGGGTGTAGGCCGTCAGAGTATGCATTCTGTGTGCTGGCATGTTTAAATAACGTGGAGGGGGGGGGGGGGGGGGGGGGAGGGGGCGTAAATAATTTTAGGGGCTCTTTGGGGGAGGGAAATTGTATACCATGGGTGTGTGTAATTTGTAGTGTTGTACGAAAATTCGTAATTTCGAATATTTCACTATTCGATATCCGCTTCAAGAGTATTGGCGATTGGCCTTTCTGCGGTGCCGCGGCTCTCCTGTGCTAAAATAAATATATAATGTATCATATCATATCATATCATATTATAAAATGAACTGCGATATTCGTATTTTTCGAAGTGCTGATCGCGACAGGTTACCCCGTTGAGTGCGCTTCAGCACCGGTGCACTGCGGAGAAGCACCACTCGCGGAGTAGCGAGTTTGGTCAATGGGAGGCGCGGGCAGGGCTTGCACCAGACGCAGAAAGAGGGATTGGCATGCTCTCTTGGCCAACTAGAAGCCGAAAAGAATCCCCTAGCAATGGTAGCGAGAAACAGTTTTAATCATAGGTATATGGTTTTAAGGCTTTTAATAAGCGCGTAAAAGTTAAATGTAGTGACCCTTCATGGTTGAAAATATGGTGAACGTGATGTTTCGATCATAATCATGCAGAAATATGTAAAAAACGAATGCGCCGCTCGAACTCTGTTTTGCTCGGATAGGGGTGACCGCGCGGACGGCAGATTCCCGGCCCCCGGCGCCTGGCTGACGGAATATGTTGATCGCTCCGCTAGTCGCGCTCTTCCACCATGATTTTGGATGACCGTGATTGAAACATCACGTGCACCATATTTTCAGGCACCAAGAGTAACTCCGATCCACTTATTCATTTTGTTTCTCGCGGCCACCGCCAGGGTATTATTTACGGCTCCTGGTTGGCCACATTCGAATTTGTGAAGACGCCCTGGAACACGCCCAGCCCGCTTTCGGCCAATGGCGCCTCCTCATTTTGTCTCCCATACTTCCCAATGAATGGCCAAAATGACGCCAAACTCTCTGCAAATACGGCTCTGGCTTCAGCGGGTGTTGCTTCTCCGCAATGCACTGGCGCTCGGTAAGAAGCGCACTCAACGGGGTAACCCGCCGCGATCGACACTTGGAAAAGTATCAAATCAAATCAAATCAAACGAGTTTATTTTCACCTTGTAAAAATACAGATGGAGGGGCTGTGGAAGAAAAGCTGCGCTTAGCAGCTTCGACGAGCCCACAGTCCCTGTATTAATGGCAACTAAGCAGCACTGCGGTGGGAAGAATGAACATGCATAAAAGGATAATGACAACGAAAACGCAAAGGTATATAGGCATACAAAACAAAAATCATACTCCCACGATTACAGGCATTTCACGGAGTTCACTGTACTTACAGGCGAATAAATCAAAATACATAAGCTGATGAGCGTCTAATTATGACGGAAGTGTATAACACATGCATTCTTTTCTGTACTTTAAACGAGGTGTACGTACTACCCAATTTTCTCCATGTCTTGTAGTATAGTTCAATTCTCTTATTTGTAGTTGTGCCAGATTACGTATACTATTTATATTCCTCTGTGTTTCCAATTTATATCGTACACTCAATCGATATTTATATAGGTTGTATGCTGGTATCACGTGGGAACGATAAAAAAGTTTGCACATGACGCTTTTTAGGAAGCGTGGTAAATGTCGAAGAAATTTTTTGTAGCAAATAAATACGTTGTAAGTTTGAAAATGTGGTTGTCCCCCACACTAGTTGACAGTAATTCAAATCAGAATAAAAGAGTGAATTATACAGAAGTAACTTGATTCTTGTGTGAAGAAGGTATCTAACACGACCTATTACTCCAGTTATCTGAGCTATTTTGCCTACTAAATACGACACACTTGCGGAGAAACACAACACCGAGACATTTAAAGCGCTCCACAATTTCTATTAAACGGGAATTAAGGAAAATATCTCTATGCACTGGAATTGGCTTATTTTTTGGTCTAAATATTACTGCTTTTGTTTTTAATTCATTTATCTGCCTGGATTTTGATTTTGACGAGTTCTCCAGTGCTTTCATTGTGTGATTACATGTATCTGCCAATTCACGGATATCAGTGCCGGAGCGTAGATAATGAATTTGGCACTAGGGTTTATTTTTACAATATCATTAAGATAAATATAAAATAGCAGTGTAATATGCTTCCCTGGGGTACACCACAAGTCACGAATAGAGCCTTAGAACACATGTTGTTTATCTGAACAGCCTGTTTTCGGTTTGATAAATAGGATTTCAAAAGTAATAAAACCTGTCCACGAATACCATAGTAACTATGTATATCGCAATCGCGTGCTTGGAAGAAAATCCCACTTTTCAAGCGGGATGGCTCGCGCGCGCGCCTGATGTATTTAAAAAGAAACGCAAACTTTGTAAATTTTGATATCTGCATTACAGAAAAATGCTCAAAACTAAGCTGTGGCTATTACGCAAGAGTATATGTCTGTTAGGCAGAGATGCCCTGACAACCTGCGTTCATTATTTGTGTGTGTGTGTTTTTTTTTTTTTTTAAATTTGATATTTAAGAAAGAAT